AAATAGGGTGAATACATCTCATTACACTGATTTACTGGTAGTCTCGAAACCCTACTATCATACGAATATCTTTTACATAGTATACCAAGCTTTATCCCGCTCTACATTCTAGGTGGCCCGTATTCTTCTGATGCATGGCAGATTTACGAGCTGTATTCATTCTATTTCGTCTATTGTGGTGTAGGACTGGCAATCGTGAAAAACCTCTTATTCAACGAAAAGTCAAAGATTTACGCCACAATCACTGAGAACATTTTTAGCTAATTAGTGAGTATCTTTCATGGCTCACTACGAAAATTAAATACCATTGCCATCTCATCAGAATTACAGAAAATTTAAATCTAAGGAGCTGAGGATGAATGCTTTGCCAATATTGTTGCCTGCGCGATGGTCCACTTTTATCGAAATCAGAACAAATGACAGGACTTTTCCATCGTTACACTTGCTCAAATAAGTAAGCCGAAGTGGGATCTTTATAATGTCTAAATAATCATCATGGCGGTTTAAGGCAGGAGGAGGCATAAACAGTTCAAAAGATAATTTACTTAAGAGAAATTATTAAAGTGACTGCATGATTTAACTATACATCCATGCCAATCTAATTTATTTGACAGACAGCCAAGTAGTTTGTGGAAATGTACTTGGTGTGGACCGTATCAAATTCCAGTAGGAACCTGTAAAAATGCTTCATACAAAAGTCATTTAAATTTTTAAAGTTTGGTTAGACTGCTGAACTTTTGTTCATTCACAGGGTCTTCAGGTTTCTGCGCCAAGGGGCAAGCTGATATAACCTGTGTCTTCAAGGCTAAATCGGGTTGCTTCTCACGAGCGTCAATATATCGGGTTTTTTTATTAGCCTGTAACCGGCGTCGTCTTTCTAGCACGGCCAGCTCATTTAATTGATCAGCATGACTGTAGTATAGCAAGAAGTGATTCACTAACAATGGGACAATATAGGCTATTAATAAAAGACCAGTAAGAATGCAGCCGACGGCGACCAGTGTTCCAGGTAGGGTTTTCGGTGCCCTGTCGCCATAACCAACCGTCGACATAGTGACCAAGGCCCACCAGGTACCGTCGGCTACACTGTGGAATGTATCATCAGTGTAGTAAGCGGCAGCACCGAAGAATACAGTACTGATGGCTAACATGATGAGGAGAATGAAGATGTCATGCATTGAGGTTCGTATCGTATATACGAGGACCAGAGTGCCGCGGTGGCGTCGAAGGATGCGTAAATATCGAAGCACGACAAGGACCTTGAGTAGATTCAGATAATCACTGGCAAGCAGCATTTGGTAAAAAGTATCTCTGTGGGGAGACACAATGGCCGATGTTCGCCATGCCCTCCCTGAGCCATTTATCGGTGAACCAGTTGGCTCAGCTGAAGTGTTTGACACCTTGGTGACCACATGCACTACAAACAGGTCAACATAGGAGGGAAGAAGAGAAAGTGCGTCAATCCATGTGTATAGAGAGCTAAGGAGGTTAATTAGGTCGGGGCAGAAAACAAGTCGGGCCAACAGATCCAAACTTAAGGCAGCACAGCAAACTGTGTCCAAATTACGAATCCACGCGTAGGTTAAAGCAAACACGCCAGAATGGTACATTCTGCCTTTGTAGAGAGGAATAAAGGACAATTCTTTCGAAGAAGACGTCGGAGGCATTGATTTCTCAGCGCCTGTTTGCCAGATGGCTGGACCACTCGTGCCATGGTAACTTCCGGTGTAAGGAAAAGCCAGAACACCACTTGAATCTGGGGCCTTATCCAAGTTGTCAGGAAGAGGGGAGCGAAATTGACTCACCGTCGAAAGAACGAAGGTTACCAATGCGATGGAGAGTAGGGAGACCTGGTAGCCAAAGTAGACTGAGCCAAGCAAGGACAAGAGCGAGCCTTCTTCTGCAGGAAGAGTTGATCCTTGAGTTTCTTCGAGACTTTCGGCAAAATTTGACCGGACTACTTCCACTTTTTGTTCCGATGGATTGAGATGAAATTCCGCCTCACGAGCGCCAAGCTCGGCATCTTCACACGACTCCATGTTGTCGAATTCCATTAACGTTTTTATGGGAGTTTCTGGCAGCTCTGGTGCCTGGTTAATCACATGCCAGACGAAAAGGCGCAGAGTCTGCCATTTGGATGATCTATCAGCAACAGGAGGAGGGGAATAATATCCAAGAGTTTTTAGCAGCAAATGAACTCTCCTATTGATTTCCATGAATAATTGTTGAAAATATGAATGCCAATATGGTGTGGCAAATCGCTTTGTCACAATCCCCTGTAGTAAGTTAGCTCTACCTTATTTTCGCAACTTAGTCGTGTTCTCAGAGAGACGCCCAAGAGCGTACCACAGTTCCACAATATCAAAATATATAGATTAAGACGGACTAGTAAGGATATATTAAACAAGCCAAATCTAAGGCACTCAGGTAATATAATGGGGAGACCGAGAGAAAGGAGAAGGTAATAATTGTAAACTCATTGTCCGAATCGTGGCTTTTTATGTGTCCTCGGCAAATTATTCGAGGCTAGCTTGGAGTCGATATAAGTTGTATTAGGTGGACTTCAGAGTGGAGGTATCATTTCGGTTCATGAAGATCGGCAGTATGGATTTAAAAATTGTACTGTAGGTGACTAAGACCAAATAAGCCAAATTAATGGGATGATGTAAATGAGCACAAAGAAGACTACAAGGTATAGCAGAAGGGAGACGTGGCTACATGAATTTAGAATGAGGCATTCGGATTTGGCTCAATATCAAGTTAAAATACTTAAAAAGGGAGTAAGGGAACTGCTACAACTGTTCAGATGTTACAAGGACGACTTTTAAAGCGGTGTTAAGGTTGGTGGTACTCTCTGCTGCTGCTATATACGATGGGCTCATAACGTCTGGGAATGTACCTGGACAATAGTCCGATGCTGGAAAAAAAATATAGGACGCAGAATATAGTATATTTCTAAAAGTCCTATTTCAAAACGTATAAATTGCGAAAACGAGGTCAAACCAATGCCATGCATTTTTTGGCTCAACGGAACAAGATTTTATAAGTTCTCTAAGGTCAAAATTTCAAACAAGAACGGAAGAGAATTTTTCTACAACCTAATTATAATGCTTGGAACTAGGTACCTTAGCCAATAATAAAATGTTTTATTATTAACTTTGTGAAGCACCGTGCCGCATCCCATAGTTGAAATAATGATTTGTATTTGGTCGAAGAAATTCCGGAAATTACAAGTAGTTGTGCAAATAGCCCGATCAGGAACTCCAATAAAGTTTGTAATAATCACTACGTTTGGTGCTCACCTATAGTATCATTCTTCTAAAATGAATTGCAAGTACGTAGCTGACCATGCTATACAGAGAAATCGCTCCTAATAATTTACTTACTAAGGCCGTGTATCGAAAAGGTAAAATTCCTGAACTTTGACTAGCATGAACCTGATTTGGTTTTTTAGCGGTTTAACGAGACCTGTACGATAGGAAAATCTATGTCGATTAAGT